ATTCAGACAAACGTTGCAGATATATATTGGTTAAAATCGGCAGTATCATCACAAAATGACGTTATTCAGGTATCAGAGCCCATAGGATATTTAGTAAAATCAGATACTATATTACCTCAAAGTGAAAAAATCCAGGCAGAATTACTAAATACTTCTCAAGTGACTTCCAATTCAGATCACTTAGTAGTCCTATAACGATCAAGCAATGAAGTGCAAATGCAAAGCGACAGAACTCAGGCTGATATGTCTATACAAAGTAACCCATCCTATCCTTACATATCAGGTAGTTCTTTGTTATCTGGCCTTGAAAACTATTCATTAGGATCTGAATTAATTGATACAAGTAACATCATTTTCTTTGGTAACTCCGCGAATGGAACATGCAACCGAATTCTTTCTTTCAATGAACTGGAAAATATCGAGACCAGTATACAATTTTCTGCTGTCGAAAATGTTCAGCATGATAGGAACACCAATGAATGAATATGTAAAAAATTCCACGGTAAGAAATTTTGATTCCAGTTTTTTTAATATGTATATTGATATCAAAGAATTATTGAAAAGAGCACAGCTTTAATGTATCTTAAATGCACATGAAACGTATATAGTTTTAGGAATTTTTCCATTTAACTTTTTATTAACTTCCACTATGGGTACCTGAGTTCAGTCAATTTCGAAAAATTTATACTTTTTCGACAAAACATCAATTTGCACCATAAGAAAAAATAATTTAAATATTTCAGCTCTATTTATTAAAATTATTCTCGATATAAAAATTGTGGATGAATCGACTGACACAATAAAAAATATAACTTTTTATTGGGAATAATAAAGTTGTTGATCAGAAGTGCCCTCATTTTGATAATACTTCAATTAAGCGGTAATGACTCTGATGTAATTTTTATTCGAGTATGATCATTAAAACTTAAGTACTTAGAAACAATTTAAAATTCAAGTATTAGGTGGAAAAACTTTAAAAGTTTAATAAATTGCAGATTATATGCAAGACGATGAAGACGTAGATACAGTTTACCAACATTGTGAAAAAGATGATTGTGACGATCATGATTATGACCCATTGTACCAACCAAGTCAAGGCGAAGCTTCTGAAGAAGAGCGGTGTGAGAGATCCGAGAGTGAAGATATACCTAGTCCTGGAAATAAAAGGCCTAAGAAACCAAACAGATTCTCGGATTCATTGATTCAGCCCAATACTCCCCGCTGCGATGATACAGAAATGTACGTAAATGACTCTCGTGGCAGAAAAGGGGATAAAAAATCAAATTTTTGTCTGTACTGTATGACCAAACAGCAAAAAATTGCCCGTCATCTCGAAACCAAACATAAAGAAGAAAATGAGGTGAAAAAGTTTATAAACTTACCAAAAGGTAATAGTGAAAGACGAACCATTATATCAAATATTAGAAAAAAGGAAATTTCTTGTTTAATACAGTCAGTCAACATAATGATGGTGAATTGATTGTTTCCCGTCGCCCATCAAAAAACTTCAATCGATCTGCCATTGATTTTAAAGTTTGTGCTAATTGTAAAGCTTTTTTTTTTTCGAAAAATACTCTGAGGGTACATTTCAGGCATTGTTCTGGAGATGTAAGTTCAACTAAGAGGATAATTTAATTATTGAGTAAGAAAGTAGCCTCAAGAGTACATGCAAAAGCATCAGCTATTGTAAAGAAAGATCTCATTCCAGTTTTAAGAGAAGATAATATTACCCGATTCATACGGTATGATATGAACTTGTGATAATTTATGCAAATAAAATGACTGAAAAATATCGAAACCGTCGACATTTCGATATGATCAGGCAGAGGATGAGATTGATTGGGCATTTTTTTATTGATTCTGAAAAGAATCGATAAGGAAATCACCGATTTATCTTCGATTTTTAATCCAAAATTCTCTGATAACACAATGAGAGCGATTAATGAGGCTGCGAGATTCAATGATATCACATACAATTATGAAGCACCCACTGTAGCCTTTAACCTCGGTAGTTTGTTGAAACAAATTGGAAATATCTTCATTATAGAATGTGTAAAAAATCATCAAGACATCAAAGGTAAGAATGCAAACGTGACCATCTTGACAGTTTCCAAAAAAGAACTGAGTGACAATTGCCAACTTGACAACTTTACAAAATAAGACAGTTGCTACGGAACGACGAGGAGGCGATCGAAAAAAGTTTCTGTATGCAGCCAAAAGAGAAGCAATTGAAATCTTTATAAAAACATTTAAGCCGTTAGAAATACATTATACCAGTTTTAATATTGGGTTTGGAACTCCGCGACAAGATGTATGTTCTATATGTCTTCAGTTAACTGAATTGCTAAAAATAGAAACAAATCATTTTGCCAAAGTCAACTTGATGACCCAAAAAAGAATACACAAACTTAGAGCTGCAGCATTTTTTAAATTATTAAGAGAAGAACAAGATGACTTGCTTACATTAAGCTTCGATTGTCAGAAAAATTTACCGGTCCCGAAAATACCAGACCAAGCAACTTATTACTCACGACAGTTATACGTGTACAACTTTACGATTATTGTTGGTTCTTCGAAACAAACGTTAGATAAGAGTAATATTCACGCCTATGTATGGACAGTAGATGAATCAGGAAAAGGTTCAAACGAGATATGCAGTTCCATTTTTCATTGTTTAAATAATTTAAATGTACATGGAAAAAGAACTATCAGGTTAGTCGCTGACGGATGCGGCGGCCAAAACAAAAATAGTATGGTTATATGCATGGCAATGAAGTGGTTATTGACTGCAGTTAGTTCCGTTGAACGATTGGAAATTATTTATACAGTAACAGGACACTCTTTTCTACCTCCTGATAGAGTATTTGCGCAAACGGAAAAACAAATCAAAAGAAGAGAAATCATAGCTAATCCCGAAGAGTATATTGAAATAATTTCCAGTCATGCTACTGTACATAAATTGGTAACTGACATACCTGTACTTAATTGGAAAGACAGTTGTAAAGAAATTCTAAAAGCCACTTCAAACTGGCACTTTCAAATTAGTAAATCTAAGCGTGTTATTCTGAGTAAAAGTGGCATTTTAGTAAGGGGTGAAATATCATATAACAGTGACTTACAATTTGCCAAAAGTCTTGTTAAAAGAGTTAAAACGGTCAGACAACTGAATCCAGAACATATTACAAAACGAGTGGCTGTACAAGCAGCCAAACTAGAAGATGTAAAAATCTACTTCAAAAACATTACGGTGATGATTGGCAAAACAAATTCGAAGAATTAAAATATTTTAAGACGGTATTATTTGATCGCATTTCAAGTGAAAACCAAGGAGTATTACGTAACATTCCAAGCGAGGAGAACGACAAATTCCTCAATGATACTTAAGAAATTTTAGAATTTGTTTAATAATGTGTTGTATCCGTTTTTAAATAAAATGTTTATTTTATTATTTTGTTTTATATTATACTAATTCAACCCTGTATGCATCTGTACTTTGTTATATCAAAATCGTCTCCAATATCGTTTTTTTTTTAAATTGGCCAAATCCCCGATTATCAAATCAAACCGAGCTATCTCCAGAATAAATACCGCAATTGTAGCTTTTGTGCAAAATAATCAATATGTATTTCTATATAAAAAAGTGAAAATTAATGAAAACTTTTAATAAAATAACGCAATTTCATTCTCCTTTCGTAAATTTTGTACCTTTTTCAGTGTTGCAATTCTCACGGAGATGGCTAAGTTTGATTTTTAACGACACATGTATAAACATACATATTAACTCTACTGTACTCTTCTTAATTAGCTTTTACCATGTGTGTACCATTAATAATTGTTTCATTATTCATCTGTTCTACCCAACACTGCACAAATAGGTACGCTTTATTGTTACGCCAATGAGTTATTCAGCTAACTCTCCATTTCTCTACACTAGAAGTACTTTTCAAATCACTCGAATACTGTAGCTCTCTTCTTAGAACGAAACATAATGCTAGACGAGATAATAGACTGTGTAAAGAAGTGCATAAAAAGAAACTTAATTTCCACGTCTTACAATAGTAGGAAAAGTAGAGTAGGGGCATATACCTTCCGGTAAGGCTCTAAAGTGTTGCCAAGCAAGGTAAGGGGATGGGAAAAAGAAAATAGCAGGTAATTCAAAGAAATTAATTTAAAAAGCGCAAAAAAGTAGATAATAAAAACACCTATATATGTTTGTCATGAAGTTTTTATTTAGATATGCTGGAAACAATTTTCTTTTTGTTTTGGATAGAAACACTAATTTATAATTTATTGAACCAGGACCGTCTCAAGGCACACTTTTTTTGCGTGGGAAAAAGATAAAAAACCAACCTGCGTGAAGTTGGCCCTACCCTGTAATGATAATTACACCAAAGTTGTACCAATATTTTGCAACTTTGGGCAACCGGAATAAAAAAATTTGCAACCTTACATTTTTGTTCTATTCGCTAAAACAAAATTGGTGGGGCCAAATTCACGCAGACCCACCACATCGTCGTATTGACCTCGAACCTTTTTCATAATTTAGCAACTAATTTGCAACTTTAGGCAGCCTTCGTGAAAAAATTTGCAACTTCGTGGTTACGCCGAAAGCGAATTCCTAAGTTGTTGGGGCTTAATTTACGCGGCCCCGCCACATCGTCGTATTGCCCTCGAACCTTTTTCATAATTTAGCAACTAATTTGCAACTTTAGGCCACCTTCTTAAAAAAATTGCAACCTCGTGGTTAAGTCGGAATCGAATTCCTAAGTTGGAAGGTGAGCCAAATTCATTCACGCGGCCCCACCACATCGTCGTGTAGACCTGGAATTTTTTGGGGCCAACATCTTTTTCTTAATCTATTTTAATTACATACTAATATATTATTAAAATTTATAGTTACAATATTACAGTTTTACTTTAATAAATTAAGATGGTGATATAAATATAAGCATCATGTGCATATATTGTAATATTTAGTAGGTACATTTTTGTATTTGATACGCAAACCATAATTAAACAAAACAAAATAAAATATCATTTAACATTTTAACGCCCATTTGCACCGACTTTTTTTTAAGTGTTATTTAACTAATGGACCTTTAACTTTAATTGCCACTTAAGTTCCAAATGATTTGCACAGAAACATTTTCTCAAAACTTTGCCTTCGGTAAAATTTGGCAATGTCGCAATCACATAGTGATTTTTGTGTTTTCTGCACGTTTTCTGTTACAGTTGGTTACAGTGTTAACAGAGAGTGTTAACCTTTAAAAAATCGAAATAATAATGTTTTATAGTTTTTAATTTCGTTAGTGGTAGGGTTGGTTTTTGTGGTGTTTTAAAAATTAAAATTATCAGTTTTTCAAGATGTCGGCAGAAGCAAAGCGAGTTAGGGGGCTGAATTTTAGCCCTAGGGAGGTGAACCATCTTTTTGTATTGGCACATCAGTATAAAAATATATTGGAGAATAAACAAACAAATGCTTCCACTAACTCTCAAAAAACGAAGCCTGGATGAAAATAGGTAACGAGTTTAATGCAATTTCGATCGATTTAAATAACAGAACAATCGACCAACTAAAAAGATGCTATGAGAACAAGAAGCAGGTAATGAGAAAGAAAAAGGCACAAGTCCGACAGGAGGTCCTGAAAACTGGTGGAGGTTTTCCACCCCCCATAACCAAGAAGGATGAACTTGATGATTTGGTGCTTGCCACCATGGACCCTATTACAGTGGAGGGGCACTATAATCAGTTTGACTCGGATGTGAGTTGCCCAGTCCCTGGAACAAGCTCTGCAGAAATTAAATATGTGTTTGAAAATTCCGTAAGTATTTATTCTATTTCTCTATTATCTTATAATTCATTTAAATATATTGGTATTGGAAAAGAACAAGTGACAAATGATCAAAATTACAAATTTTACTTGATCATATGACTCAAAATCAATTGTTTGGATTAGGTCTGTCAGCCTTTTATGACCTTATCTTTCAGCAGTACCAAACCATGTCATTTTTGTTTTGTTTAATTAGGGGTCTGGGTAGCCAAATTAATAATGTGTAGAGTACATTACTTACTATTTTATTGTGTTCAATTAAAATTGGTCAACTATTTTTTAGGAAAATGCATCTGAAAATGCTATAGTGGATGAAGGAGACTATAACAGCTTTTCTGAAGCAACTCTTGAGGTACGAATAGCAATATTCTATGTTAATTTAAACTTATTTGCACATTATCAAGCATTATACCTGCCTAAATATGCGTGAATGTTTAACAATACTCTGATATTTTCCTTTATTTATAGTTTCTACAATGTAATCTAAGAATATTCTAGTTGTTTATAACAATACATCCAGTATACAAACTATAAATTATAATAGAGATAAATTTAGAATTTTTATAACTGTTGCAGATTAATACAACACAACTTTCGTCATGTTCTTCAACGCCTTCAAAAAGAAAATCATCTCCAATTGAAAAAAATTTACAACAAAAAGTGGCACCTACCTTGGTAAGTTAAATATTATTTTATATTGCTTGTTAATTATTTTTGTTTAATTATGCAGAGCAATTTTTGACATTACCTATTAGATTTATTAATACAAGTGAATTATTTTGTTTTTGGGATTATTTGTCCTCCAGAGGGGAGAGTGAAAATCATTGAAAAAAGATCTTGTATTTTTTTTTTCTGTAAAATTGTTTTCCCACACTTTATCGCCCGTATATGTTTTAGAAAGAAGAAGAAAAAAATGAGAAGTCCAGTTGGAAACATTTCAATACAAATGATTTGAAAAGACCTTTAAATCCGGCCCTATTGCAGCCTGGTACAAGGAATAAATATGAAATGGAAGATGAATCTGAAGAGGAACAAATAATTGATCCAGAAGTGCTAACTGAAATTGACACAAACAAAATAAATAGAGGAAGTGGTGTAGCCAGAGAAGGCACACGTGGAAGAGGAACACCCAGAAGAGTAAGATTTTTAATCAGTTTTTATTTTCAACTCAAGTCAAAAAAAGCTTTACTGTTTTAATAAAGTTCATCACCTTTACGCCTGAAAATTAGTGAAAATCATAAAATACCTTAGGCTACCAGTTAATCAGAAGTGCGTAAAAAACCTTGAACAATATATTTTTGTGATACACATAATATGTGCTAATAGCTATTAAGTATTAGTTTTCATTTAATATTTAACAATTAAAATTTTGTAATTAGTTCTTTATTTGATAGAAATAAATTCCTCATTAAATTTTCCTTTTAAGAATATGCCATATTATACGGTTTGCTTCAATACATTTTTAGACCTGAGAAGCAAATATCTCAACTAAATAGTTTGAGTTGGTTTTATATTAAATTAAATCTAGCAGTATGCATTCTCATAAATATGTTATTGAGAGTTTCTGTTTTTTCTTCTATAATATAGTTTTTAGTTTGGTTACAAGTTAAAAAGTTGAAATAATAAGTTCTTTTGCAGTATGGTACATACTGGTGATCCACAAACCATCAGAATTATGTGCAGTGTGTTTGTTAACAAATCCTGATGGTTTGGGATCATTATTAAGCACATTGCAAACTCAATAATATTGTTAGTTTTTAAATTATAGGGGCCCGATAGAAGGAGGCCAACTGCTACAGTGGTGAGGACATTGGCATCAAATGCTTTAGCCGAAAAATATGAATACTTGGCGGACAAAAAAAATATAATAGCAGATCACACCATAAAAAAAATAGAGAGAGAAAGGTTGCATGCTGAGGAGGAGCATCGTCTTAGAAAAGAATGCCTTCAATTAGATGTCCAGATAAAAAAAAAACAATTGGAGAAACTTTCTCATTAGCTTGTGCTGTGCTTTTTAAAGCCAAATAAAAAAGTTGCAGAATATGTTTTTGTTGTTCTTTTTTATAATTCCTTCTGTTATTGTTACCCGTTTTCTTTTAATATAGTAGTTTTTTGGGTTATGTAGGTGGTAAAATAATTTTTGTCATAAAGTTAGTTAAGTATGAAATTTGCTTTTAGGTTCCTAATAAAACAAAAAAACCTATACATAGCACAAATTTATAATCAGAAATTAGTCAAAAGCTCATTTTATTGTTTTTTATTTTAATTTTAACATATCAAATTATTGGTAGATGTTACAGCTGACTAAAATACCGAATAAATCCATTTTGAACCAAATTGACTGGACCGCCATTGACTTGTGGCTCCACATGAATTTGTTGGGTTTGAATTAAATAATTAAGTTCATCTTCATTAATGTCTTCAGGCAATGGAGGTTCCGGTTCATTCATGTCCCTTGCAAGGTTATGAAGGACAGTAGTTGCCACAATTATGGCCATGGTAGTTTCTAGCTTAAGTCTGAGTCCATAGGCAACTACTGGGAACCTTCGCTTCCATATGCCAAATACCCTCTCAATCGCATTTCTGGTGCGAATTAAAGCTTCATTATAGAGGTTTTTACCTGGAGTAACAGGATTTGCCGATGGTGTCATTAAGTAGCTTCGAAGTGGATAACCACTATCCCCTAAAAAACACAATTATTTTTAGGTCAAAGTATTTGAATAGTCATGATAAAAACTCTTTGATCTAGACTATGATAATAATTTTTTTTGAACAAGTAAAGCTGTTTCTTTGCAGTCGCAATAAAAATTATGCAGTGTTAATATAAAAACAAATTAAAATAATTTTTTTTAACAATTGTGGAAAAACGAGATTTTCAGAAATAAAGCATAAATACAAACAATCTTTCATATATAAGTATACCTCTCTTTCTCGTTCTTACAAAAAAAGAAAAAAAAAACAGAATTACAAGTTATTCCTGCATGTACATCGAAGGGTAAAAATTAAAATTTATAGGAGTATTTTAGACTTATATCCTTTCTTTTGATGCTCTTGAATTCCAAAATTACACTTGCCTATTATCACACTTCCCCCAAATTCTCCAGTTTCAAATCTTGCTCGTATGGATGAATTGGCAAATATTGTGGCATCATGTGATGAACCAGGCCAGCGAGCAACAACATCGAGGAATTTTAGTTTGGCATCTGTTAGGCATTGTACATTCAGTGAAAAGAAAGACTTTCGATTTCGATAAATTTCACCGTTATCTCCACCTAAATAAACAAAAGAAAAATGTAATAAAAATTTAGACAATAGTATATTCTGAAGGTTCTGGGCTCAAGATGTAAACTTTTCGCTCTGTACGTCCCTTTGATGTTTATAATAAGATGCTAACATTTTTCTTCAAATTCATTAGTAGTAGGGCATTTAAATGTTCACTAAGAAATTTTATGTTTTTTATTGCCAACTTTCACAAAGCCATTCCATTTTATTAATTTCTTAACACCTCCACTTCTGTTTAAGTACTACTTAAAAACTCACCAGGAGAATCAATCTTTACATGGGTACAATCAATCAATGCCTGAACTTTTGGAAATCCAGCAATATTAAAAAAATTATTCTGAATCCTAAGCCGTTGCTGAGGAAGGGGCATATTTACATATCTGGCGCGTAAAGATGCAATTAGTGATGATATATAGGATATGACTCTACATGCAGTAGAGACATGGACGTTCATGAAGTCTGCTGTCTGAATAATGTGCCCACTGCTGGCATAAAACCGGAGTGTTAGAAGCAGTTGGTTCATTGGTGAGAGGCTGTTATTTCTATAATAAAATAAATTTGTTTGAGAAAAGCAGTACCCATACTATCCATATAGTTTTACCACAGCCGAACATAAATGTCTTGAAAAACTGGTATTCTATGACAAGATGGTTAAATATTTACTATTTTTTTACTTACCTATTATCTGGGTACTCCAATTGATCCTCAATTTGAATTAGAAGTGCCATGACTGTATGCTTTGTTAGCCTGATTCTTCTAAAAAAGTCCATTTCGGTCATCTCTTCATAGTAATTGGGCCTAAGAAAAATGCGTCTAGGGTATCCCATGTCTACAAAATCAAGGACTTCTAAGTCATCTTCTAGAAAATCCTCCACCAGGACTTCCTCTTCAAAATTTTCCATTTTAACAAGTCACAAATCTTAGAACACTAGATTTTTATAAATTAAAAGCCAAATGATTTGGAATATTTGAGGTTAAAGAACAATTAAACATGTTTAAGGGAAGGAATTTGGCCAGTTAGCTAATAATGGATGCTTTAAGAGTCTCTTAAAGTTGGTGCAACACACAAAAACCGCTAATGGTACTTTAAAGGACATTTAGCTTAATTGTTACTTAAAAAAAAGTCGGTGCAAATGGGCGTAAGAGGATCATATTATTAAATATTCCTATATCTGTAAAATATAAAACAATTTTAAGTAACCAAGAAGAGTGACTTACAAGTTGTTTTAAAATTGTGCAATAATTAAAAAAGGACATTCTAGTTAAAAATAAAAGTTTTCTTGAAAAACATTAAAATAAAAAATGCATATTAGGAAACTACTGTTTTATATAAACCACTAAATGTGGGTTGACCTTATTGTGACCTTGTTTTGATTTGGAAATTTTTTTTTGTAGGTCATTGTGTAGTTCCCAATTTCCCTGTTTTCTTCTTATGACAGCTACATAATGGTCTAATCCATATGAAACTATGCCATAAAATATATATTGTTACACACGGTATCGTTTTTGAAATAGTTTTATTAACCCATGAACGCAGTGCGTTGCCATATGGCAACAGCAATAATAAGAGTGTTTAATATTTCATTCAGACCAATACCGACGAGTAGGAGGGGTTAAAATCACATTATCTGCTCAAGGAGGTACTAGCCAATCTATCTGCGTACGGCCGTTCAGTTGTTAGCTAACAGAGGTCCGTAGTGTTTTATTGATTTTTAGTGAAATAAAAATGGACCAAAATATTTACGCTCGTTTCAGGTTAGTAATTTTTTTTTCATTTACAGCAATGAACAGTTTAGATGAAGCTTTTATCGTAATGTGTATAGTTTCTTTTATACATTATTAGAGTTTTGTAAATCCAAAATAATCCATGTAAGCCTGTAGGGTTACGTAAAGTTAGGTGTTGCCATATGGCAACGCTAAGCGCTTCCTAGAGGATCATGTTTATTTTACAATTTTATAACGGACATGGTGTTTTCATGTTTTCATGTTTTCGTTTATTAGATAAATTACTATTCAGTTTTTTTTATTTGGTTTATTCTTTTACAGTAAGGGCAGAAGCTTTGGCAATGGTGGAAGATGAAGACATTGTAGCCGATATTTTTATAGAACCTCCTGATGTAAATGAAGATACAGATCAGGACTCAGGTAACGAACATGAAGGGGCAATGGTTGATAATCTTGGCCCCCGGCAATTACGTGCAGCGGCTGAGATTCGGCTTCCTAATAATGGCAGAATCGGTGAATTTGATCCGTTAGATGAAACTGACCCAGAAATCCCTAACCTAAATACAGGAGCACAGGGTATCGCATGTGGCATGTTTCTAACCACCCCCTCTGAGGAATGGCTAAGAAATAGGATGCAAAGAAAAAGAGATGACCTTCGTTGGATTGAAAATGCTGACCTGGAGGTGCCACCTCAGTCTCAATTTCCTGAGATGTCATACGCCAAGTATGAAGGAAAAACAGCTACAGAGATGTTTGAGTTATTTGTAGATGATGAACTTATAGAATATATAGTCTTAGAAACTCAGCGATATGCACTATTTTTAAATTGTCCTGATCCACGCATTACTTCAGATGAAATTCGATGTTTTCTCTCTATTCTTTTCATTACAGGATATAATGATTTGCCATCGAAACGCCATTTCTGGGATTCAAAACCTGACATGAAGAACGAGGCTGTAACGCAAGCAATGCGACGAGACAGATTTCTCCAAATTTGTCGCTTTTTGCACTTTACTGACAATAATCAAATAAATACTAAAGACAAATGTTGGAAAATTCGTCCCCTGATAGAGAAAATGAAAAACAAGTGTATGGAGCACTTTGTTCCAGAAGAAAGTCTATCTTTTGATGAAAGTATGGTAAAGTACTTCGGAAAACATGGATGCAAACAATTCATCAAGGGCAAACCCATTAGATTCGGGTATAAGATGTGGTGTATCAACACAAAAAGTGGATATCTCGTAAATTTCCAAATGTATCAGGGAAAAAATCTTGACTCAAAATCTAATTATGATGCTCTCTTTGGAACGTGTGCTAGTCCTCTAGTTGTAATGTTGGAAGAATTGCCTTTTGAAAAGCAAAATCTAAGATATAATTTTTACACAGACAACTTATTTTCAAATGCCAATTTATTCTCATTTTTAAAATTCAAGGGTCATTATGCTGTTGGAACAGTCAGAGAAAATCGATTGCCTAAGTCAGCGCCTCTTACGGATAAGAAAATGTTTGCTAAACATCCTAGAGGTACATTCCAAAAGGTAATGATGGCATTATTTATATATAAGATGGGCCGATAATTCAGTAGTTACTATGATGTCCAACAAATATGGAGTCGGAGACGTTAAAAATGTAAGACGGTATTCCCAAGCGGAAAAAAAAACATATTATGGTACCTCAACCCCAAGTAGTATCCCAATATAATAAATACATGGGAGGCACAGATGCTATGGATCAAAACATAGCAACATATCGTATAGAAGTACGCAGCAAAAAATGGTACTGGCCCGTTGTAACCTGGATACTTGATGTTGCTATGCAGAATAGCTGGATTTTATATAATAAAGCTAATAAAACAAATATGCCACAATTAGATTTTAGACGTGAAGTAGTAGATGTTTATTTACATCGTTATCGTTCCATATCCAAGGGGTCTGGTAGACCATCTAGTTCAGTGCACCGCAGTTCTGATAGCAGGATTTCAGATGATATTCGATACGATGGCAAATATCATTT